GCTTCCTCCTCACATCTTTCATTGCCAGTCCAACTTACCCTTCCCCTGGAAATTGATGTCATCTCTGCAGAGAACTGGATAACTCCTAAATCCAAATGATGAGACTTTGCCATAGTCTTCATCCTCTTCTTTGCACAGAAACCCATCCATTCCTTCTGAAGATCTTCATGGATCAGTTGTTGCAGTGTCATGTGGGCACTCACCAGGGGAGAAGCGTAGCAGTGCAAGTAGAAAAATTTCAAATTCTTCATTCCTTGGGGATTTAAAAATGCATTGTTAGGGCCAAATAGGAGGGCAGACAGCCTTTGCAGAGCACCTCAAAGTGACACTGCGTTGCATCCGTTCCCTGCCTGTTGTGGACATGTTAAAGTAATCTGGGCTGTAACACAGGAATTATTGTTCAGGGTAATCTCACAACACATTAATCAAGTAGTGGGTTCCTTTGGGAGGGTAGGGCTTGTTTCACCATTTTACTTGGAATATATGAATTTAAATACAGATTTACAGTGCAGCTAGTGCCTTCAAACTGTGTTGAAGCACAGACTGGAAGAATATAAAATGTACCCTGTACAGGCAGTGAAATCCTAGATAATGTCTTTTCTTCTCATATCTCAAGTGAGCACAGGTCCACTAAAGAATATAGACTGTTTAAATCTCCTGTAGTAAAGTGGAATCACTTAAATATATCTGAACATTCCCATTATGCCCATTTCATAGAGGCAAGATTTAAGTGGTTGCCAGATGTTATACCCTCCTGAGTTTCCAAACTTAGGATTTTTTGCACGTGTATATTTTTCCCCCTTTCTGCAATCCATCATTTTGGAAAGTTATGCTGGTGGTTTGATTGTTTTGAGCTTGCAAACCCCTCACACTATGCTTGCAGTTCCCTGAGATACAAAGGTAAATCCAGCCCTAGAAACCCCAGGGGATCTCTCTGGATGGGCAGTGATGAGGGGGAGATGCTACAAAAATATCTTCGGAAAGTCTTTACAGCTCTTTGTGTTGCTCTTCCATGAGGAAAATTTGTATTCCATGGTCTGCAAGGCTCTATGGGTGAATAACTGAATCTGCTAGATTTACACAACTGTTTTTTAGCCCTGCTTCTATGTTAGAACAGACCATTACAGTGCCTTTTTATGTGGAAATCTTGTAGCTGGGTGTGGTGGGGAAGCCACTTAGTGACTCATACTGCAGGGAATTCCCTGATGAATTAGAGTATTTTTACTTCTGGACTTGTGCACAGTTTCCTTCAATGCTGGAGCAAGCGGCAGATAAGAGCAGGCTACAAAGGCCCATTCACCGTTCAGCTACCCCAGTGTTAAAACAGGGTGTTTATGCCTTGCAGAGCCATAACATGTAGGTTCACAGCATTTTTGTCATTAGCAATCCCAGGTGCTTCAGTTTCACAGAGATGAAGAAAACAAGGCAGAAGCAGATAGTGGTGAAGTACACATGGAGCAGGGATGGCTATAAATAACAGGGATGGGTCTGTAAATGTCAGGCTTCCTGACCAACCTGGTGTCTTCATCTGGCAGTAGTGCTGATGGCCACCTGTCAGCACAGCCTCCAGCCTGTGCAGAACGGGTGGGAGCAGCTTCTCCTCCCCCCAGCACTGCCACTGTCTCTTTGGAGGAGGAGGAATTTGAGGATCATTCATCCAGTCCATGTGTGGTTCCCCCTTGAATTCTTGTCTCTGTCAGGTTGCTACGGGCAGTGAGTGAGCAGGGCACTCTACCGGGGACTCTGCATGGATGCCATTCTGTGCATGGATGTTTTTGGTTTATTTCCATTTGGTAAAAAAGCCCTCACAAAACATAAGACACCAGTATAATACTTTGACCCAACTTTTTATCTATATAAAGAACTGTCTTTCTCTTCAAAATATTGCACTATAACTCTTAAAAATGCCAAAACAAAGCCAGGCATTTGGTTTGGAGAAGACGACACTTCTTATTACTTCGTAAAAGTAAATAGTGAAATGAAAGGGAATGAAATAAGACCTTTGGAAAAGCCGTTTTCTCTCTTTTCCTTCGTGCCTCCTCCTCCCCTTCCTCTCCTGACTCCGTTTCCCCCCCGTCCCTGTATAACAACTGCCCATTTGGGTACGGTAATTCCAGAGAGCAAACTTTAACGGGAATGCCTGAAATGTGTCTGCTTCAGCTTTGTGTTATGTCTGTAATTTGAATTATTTGCATTTTGGAAAGGTATAAATTGCTCTGGTGTACTTGGGTTGGCTGGCGGCCAGGAGGGAGTTGCCTCGGGCCCAGACCAGGCGCGTTGCTGCAGATGTGGCAGGCGTACAATGGAAACTTTTGTGGGCGAGCAGCCCTCACTCCTCCAGCACACGCTGACAGGAGGCGGCATCCCGCCTGCTTGCCAGGCTCCCTGGCGGATGGGCACTGGGGCAAAACCATTTTCTCTGGCATAGGTGGATTATCTTGAGGCTTAGGGTTCCCACAAACCATTCCAAAGCCATTATTCCTTTTTTATTCCTTTTTTCTTTTTTTAATTTCAGCTGAACTGTTTAAACCTGCAAAACATGTTTACTGTAATAGGCTGACGTAGTGGTCTAAGGTTTCCCTCCTGGAGCTGGTCCCAGTCCGTGGGTGTTGAGATTTCCCTCTTGGTTCACCAGACGTAATATGAGGAATTGTCTTTCTTTCTTGTTCTTTTTCTTTTTTTTTTTTTTGGTCTCTTGCTTCATAACAACTTTTGCTCCCTGTGTTTTTGTTAAATGAAATGTCACTAGCTGTTAATGAGTTGTCTATTCCCTACTTCTTCCTTCTCTTCCCTCTCCCCTCAGCTGCCGATGGTATGAACAGTCCCAAGGAAATTTCTTGGAGCAAAACCCGTATTGTTCTTACTAGCTTCCAAAGACAAGCCACGGCTCTGGATTTTTATTTTTCTAATAGTTTAGTTTACAACATCTAAAATATTTCTGAACAAACTCCTTTTGTCATCATGAAAATTTCAAAAATGCATAAAGGCAGTGCTGCATAAAATAATTGAAAGAATAGCTGGAGATGGAGTCATTTTGAATTTTCCTGAAGTATTGGCAGGAAATAAAAACCAGAAACCTGAATCAGATCATTCGTCTTGCAAAGCACAAATTAAACATAGCAAAAAACCTGAACTTCTGGTAATCCATTTTCAAAGGCAAATTGAACACATGTTAACTACTGGTCTGGACGTCTGTAGATTGAAAAAAAAAAAAAAAACGGCCCAGCAAACCCCTTCCAAAGCAAAAGTTCCTACACTTTCACAAAATGTGTGATAGCAGCATTGTGTTGCTTTTATAACTGATTGAATTAATTAGGGACAGGGAGGGAGTGCTACAGAGGCTGGAGATAAAGGAGGCTGCTCCCAGACAGAGGATGTGTCCTGGCCTGCTGAATTTTGGTCAGGGTTTTCTACTGACAGCCCAGGGGAAGCATCTGTTGGATAAATTGTGAAGTGATAACCAGTCCTCCCAAGAAGCCTACTTCAATTCTGGCACTCTCCAAAGGCATCATTAAGGAGTCTGAAGCACAGTCTGGCTACTCCTTCCTTCCCAGCAGCGGAACGTGGTAGTACCAATTAAAGGGATTCGTCTTCCAGCATCACAAGTGAAAATGTAGGAAGAAACTGTGGGGAGATCTGCTAATTGTTTTCTTATGGAAAGACCTGCCAAATCCACTGTGGTATTTGTTCTGCAGCCTTCATGTTGTGCTTCTTTCCATACATTAAAAAGAAAGGGATTTTGGACATTAAAACAATTGCCAGGGATAGTCCTTCAGCAGCATTCCTTTCACAGTAGGACAGCTGTACACAAAAATATTATTTACAGACATCTGTAATAAATCAGGCAGTTCTAAATGCGTCATCTCCATCCTGGCCATGAAAGCAAAGAGAAAAGAAAAAGTGCATTCACTCTTTTACCTTTCAGAGGGCTGTTTTTCTAAGGCAGGCCCATGTCCATGTGATGAAGTTAAAAATAACTAATATTTGCATTTGCATGTCCCAATGCTGCAATAAATGTACAAAAGGGATGACATAAAGTCTCCGTTTCCCCTTCATTTCAGTAACATCTGACAGTGGTGGGACTCGTGAAGCTGCATGTGTCTCTACTGCCCAGCTTATCCAGCAGTCTGCTTATAGCCTTTCATTTGTGTTTTTCTAGGCCTGCAGAATGGAAACCTTATATTCTGTATTATTTTTCTCATTTCTTTCCTATTGAGGTCTGAATATGCAAGGAAATAAAAGCCCACCTTGTTTTCCAGTGATTTTTGTATCAGAAATGTGCAGGAAAAATGACTGGACAAATCCAGTTTCTCCCAAAAGACATGTTCACAGAAAAAGTTACAGCTGTGGCTTAAATCTATGTGTGCTTGAAAACAGAGATTCGGTAAATTTGGGGGACCCAACACACCACTAAAAGCAGCTCCAGAAGTGGGACCACTTTGTAGCTGAAGAAAACCAGCTTGAAAATGGAGTCTAAAGCTGTGTTTCCCAGCCTATGGCCTTGCCTTTTGATTCAAGTAGCACAATTATGACCAGCCAGACTAGGAGTATATTAAAATCAAATCCTGCATGTCTGAGTAGCTTCCTTAATACTAACTTACTTTTTGTATTGTTTAATATTAGTTGAATATTACTTACAGCCTAGGTAGTGTTCAAAAGGCATCATAAGTAGCAGTATTGTTGTCTGAAAGTTCAGTGTGAATTGAGATGTAGAACAGTTGCATATTTTGTCCAGGCTAGTAGCAGAGAAAACTCCCAGTGGCTCTCCCCCATCACAGTATCATGCACTCTGGATTGTGGTTCTTCCCTTCAGAAGAGCTGAAGGGGCTTCTGTCACACGTTACCCAGATGGTCTCTTAGTTGGGCAATGCCTTGTGAGAGCTCCTTTTCTTACATGCAGGTGCCCCTTCAAAGAGATTGTTTTTGTGAAAATTGTTCCTTTCTTGGCTTGGGAAAGGAAAAAAGGAAAGAACTAGATATCTTTTTCTTTTGTCTTTTAGATGGTCACCATGTGTGGGAAATGGAAGCCAAAACCGACAAAGAAATGTGCAAGCCAGTAAGTCTGCCTTAAATATTTTAACATCAAGATGAAAAATATATATTGCCTTCTCCAGCACTGTTACTAAAGAGGGATTTCCAAGGCTTTGGCACTGAAACACAACAAGTACTTAGGCCTCCCCTCCTGGAAATCTTTGTTTAATGTGAGCATGGGGTAAAAAGCCATCACTGGAAGCTATCCCAAAAGGAGAAGAGACCATTTGGAAAATACTTTTTCATTGTCCGGGATGGACCAGTTCCATCTGCTCATCTTTTGTCTTGCTGGGTCAGTTCTTTCCTCTGCTCCCAAAGCAATTTCTGATAATTTTCCTTGGCTTTCCTCTATCTTCAGCAGGAGAAACATGAGTCCCCTCACAGGAGATCAGGTCCACATTGGAGAAGTGCGGCTCCCTCAGCCATGACTCTAAGTGGGAAGTACGTCCACTATTCCACATTTGCAGGAATATGCAATACTTGCAAACCTGCAGGCAAACAAAAATTTAAAGATCTCGGCTGAATTCAGGCCAAATGCTAAGAAGAGAATTCCCTGTTACTCCTTCAAAAAGCACCAAGGGAGCTTTTGATGGTCATAGCAGATTCACTGTGCATATGTGTAAACTGATGCCCTAGGAGCTAAGTAATTCCTTAGCCCTATGCTGGAGCATTTGGTTTCTAACACTGGAAGATCATCTACACATTCTCCAGCCCTTTTTCATGTTGCGAGATGTGCTTGCAATAGTGAATCTCCCATCCACAGAAGCTACCATGCTTAAAACTCCCTGAGTTATTATATAAAAATATATTTCACTGCGGAAAATGGAAATATTTGAGTAATGCTGTCCTAATGCCTTTCAAAGGAAATATTGTTAGGTTCAGATATATCAGGGATGACCTGCCAACCGAGCTGTTGTGCTTTCTCCTGCTGAGTTAGAGACCACAATTTGATTGTGGTCCCAGATTCTTGACAGAGGCAGGCTGGATAGAGCCTTATCCATATGCAACATCATATTTGCTGTCCAAAGGAAAGACGTGAGGGCTAGTGATTTAGTAAAGATCTGAGCCATGCTAAAATAATTTCCCTACTTTTAGAATCCTTGGCAAGGACACTGGGGTTAGAGGGAAGCCATCCTTGCCTACAAAGCCCACCAGTTTCCCTACAGAAAGTGTTTCTTTTCATTCTTGTGGTTAACTTTTCTATACTATTGTACAGCTAGACTGCCTAAGTTATGCCTTGACTTTAATTTTCTGATTTGTTGCTTCTGCAGAATTCATTGGTGGTTGAGATACCACCTTTCCGCAATCAGAGAATTACCAGCCCTGTTCAGGTCAACTTCTATGTCTGCAACGGGAAAAGAAAGAGAAGCCAGTACCAGCTTTTCACATATCTTCCTGCTAATGGTAACAAAACAAATTCCTTATCTCTGCTAGTAAAAGTGAGAGATAATGACAATACATGGTTCTAATAATTCTTCAGTAATTCAAATATTTTGGAAGTATGCATGGTATTATGAGAGTGAGAATGAATCCAGGAGAGCTGCCTTTGTCTCTGCTGCCCACACAAGAGACCACCTCTGCAGATTATTTCCATTTGCATTGGTGGAAGAGACCAATGTTTCAAGCCCTGTTGAAACAAGGGCTTCTGCTTTTGGGAGCTGAAGAGCCACAGCACGAACTCAGATGTTTGTGAAGGCACTGAGATCTCTGCTAAGCTGCTGTCAACCCTCAGTCTGACTTTCTAATCCCAGAGGGTAAATTTCATTCAAATAACATTTCTAAATTCACACCATAATATTTTTAGCATGCTGGGCTCTGAGCTGGAGGTGGTGTGTGGATTCCCCTTGCAGTCATCTCGCACCTTGCTGCCTTGCACAGAGTGAAAATTGAGACAGACAATGTGGGTAGAGATCGGAGTGCTCCATATAAAAAGCTTCATGGATGGGAAATGTTCAGAAACGTGTGACAATTGGTTGGGTTTTTTTGAGCTTATATTGGTAGCTGTGAAGTGACAATAAAGCCACTCATGCACTCATCATAGTTGAATTCCAAGCAGGCTTGTATGAAGTTTTAATAGCTAGTAAATTTAGATATTTTTTTTAATTATTGTTTGAAATGGCTTTTTTTACTAAGAGCACTCTTTGGGGGAAAATAGGAAAAGAAGAGTGGTTGTTTTGTTGTTGTTGTTTGGGAAGCAAGAGGAATTAGAAAAAAATATTAAGCTATGCTTTCTTGTAGACTTTCCAAGCAAAAACAATCCTTGTCTGGGAAATACCAACAAAGCAATATTCAAGTCATGTCACATGACTTGAAGAGACATGCTAACTTTTTGTAGGTGAAATCTCATAAAGTACACATTTGGAATTTCACCCAGATAGTATGTGTACACTTTTATGGGGACTTAAATTAAGAGTACAAGAAACCTGACATGGCAACAGAGTGCTTATTGCATGTATTCTATGTAGCTGTGCTTCACTGAATCAGCCTACTTATGCAAACTTCATTCCTAGTGGGGATGTCTGTGCATTTAAAGACTGTTCATCTCCTAAATTGGAAAGGAGTTGTTATTCTCTTCCACAACACTTTTCAGCAACTAAAATTCGTTGTAGAGGCAATCAGGTGTTGCTTTGTCACCCAAGTCACCCTTGTAAATATTTCAGATTCAGGCCTCTTCTTAACTGCTGTTTATTAAGCAGCATCTTCCCTCCAACCTTTACATAGGCCTTTTTTTACCATTGTATTCTAAATCCCAGGAATAGTAGTGTGCACTCCTGCAGAGCTGGTTTATGCTTTCACTATTCTGTTTTTGGAACATTTGATGTGGAGAGATGGGAATACATACCTAGTGACAGCAGACTTAGTGACAACAGGGAACCAGCCTAGGCTTTATTCTGCAAAGACACTTTTAATTATGGTAATTGTTGAAAACATTAGGAATCTTGTTTAGTCTGCTGTACCAATTTAAATTCAAGTGAAATGTTTTCATTTCAGCATGAGGAAACCTGAAAGAAAAAATGCAACACCAGGGTAGGGTAAAAGCAGGTATTCCTAGTAAATACTCTTTCCATTCCTATTTGGTTGTCCATTCACATTGTCTTAATACATATGTATATGTGCATGTAGGTAGCTGAAAAACATGTTGTGTTCTTTTCAGCCTCTTCCATAACAGTGGTAAAAGTGAATGTGCATCTGCAATCATCAGAATTAACAGTATAGTATGTTTTTATTATGCTTGTGTTGTAATGCCTGTGTTACTGCTGTAAGGTTTTGCCTTTCTATGGCTGGTATTTTTTTTCCATCATGCCTTTCAAAGATAGATACAATTACCTCCACTATGTATTTAGAAACCATGAACAGTGATTGAATCAGTCATTCATGCTGCTGTATTTCTAGGAGTCATTTTAGGCTTCATCTGATTTCAGTCACAACATTCTTTTATTGTTTCAAGACACTGTAGAAGAGCAAAGTTTAGCTTATACAGAAAAAATTACCTGACTCAAGAACCACTGGGCGGTCAGTGTACAAAAATATAGATGAGATAAGCATGATTTTGGCCCAGGTAACACTTTGTCTGTTTTTTAAATAAATTCCACAAACATAATTTACACAAAAGGTGTAGGTCTTTGACAAGAAATTGTCAGAATGATCATGAAGTGTAAGATGTGTTTTGCACAAATGAGAAAGTATCCTGTAAGCTGATTCTTCTTCTGTGCTTTAAGACTAATCAAATGCTGCATTTCAGTGCCTACTGTAGTTTTGTAGGTGTTTCTGTGTGAGGGAGCTTTTAAAAGCTTCATGATGCACATCAGACATATATTTTACAGCTCAACTGGACTGTGCCAGAGCAAAATACCAAATGTGGACGAAAGCCTAAATATTGTGTAAACCCCTGGCTGTGCTCCTGGGGTGGGTGTGGGCACACACAGACCAGTGGGAGAGCCATGGGCTCACTGTGCACCTCCTACCCCCCCACCACGGGGCAGTAGGGGGTTTTTCCTGTAGCTCCTATTTTTCCTCATTCCCTAGGGAAAAACAGCCAGTGGATCCAGGGACACATGACTTCAGTCATCCCACCTCCCATGGATGGTCCTATAGCATCTCCATGGAGTACAGCTCTGTGACATGCAGCCAGAACAAGCTGCCATCTCCAGCAGTGTTATTTTGCCACCACAGGACCTCTCCCGTGCTGCGGAGATGTGCCAGGATTGTACCTTCCCTCTGTTAGCTCAAGTGTTTGGCAGAGCAGGGACTTACTTGGTGAAGATGAGTTTCTGCTTCAGAAATAAAAAAAACTACTGTAAAAATTAAAATCTTACTGCTCTGTAAATGTAGAGTTTAAATAGCACAGCAAAAGAGAAAGTAGATGCTTCAGAAAAGGAGCCAAGGTCTTGAAAATGGGCTTGCTTAAGTCTTTGGCTTGGGATACACTGTAAACTGAAGTAATCATATCATTTTTAACTGAAATTTTGATTTACTGTTCTGCAAAATTTGAGCAACTCCTGAATTCTGTATTAGCTTACATTGTACAGAAATTACTGTAATATCATTTTTTTAGTATTATTTCAATGATATGCATCACTGAGCAATTGCATATCAGTTCTGTCCTGGAGCCTGCAGGCTGTAGGCTCTTGAGACTCCTCCACAGACATGCCTGCCACAGAAATATAAGTAGTTTCCATACCATTCTGGCACAGGTGAATTCCTGCAGCTCATATGGTAAGTACTGATACATTTTGTATTGCCACATCCCATCAGAATTTGAGGAGGAAGACTCTGGACCAGACACTGCAGTCAGGAGTCTGAGCAGAGCACAAAGAGCAGACCCTTGGACATTCAGCTTTTAAAGTGCCCCACTACTGTGGCTCCATGCAGGGGACTCTGCAGCTCCATTACGTGCAGCAGAACTTTTTGGAAAACCACATTCCAGGGTTAAACTAATCCGGAGAGTCTGAAGAAGAACACAGGCGTGTATGCTGTGGTTCCAAATCCTGTGTTTTCATCTAAGAAAGCTGAAGGAGTTCTCCTGCTCAGAGACTTTAAACAATGAATGATAAGGATTAGATTTCTGCCTGTTTAGATTTTTTTGAGTAGGTGCAAAAAAATAGAGGAAATGTTTTCAAGAACTTATTTTTGCAGATAGGAGTGGGTGCTCTCTATGTTTTCTGTTATACAACAAGTATTGATATCAAGAATGTTGAACACAGGGAAGTTTTTCTTTGAATTTAGTGATATTTGACTAACTGAAGACAGGCTAGTTTGTCCAGGAAATATTTAATAAAAAAGAAAAAGGAAAGTTGTGTTTCCTCTACTGGAATGAAAAATATGCTTTTGCAAAGAGTTGATGATAAAGTATTTCCAGTTTATGTTTCTGTCAGGCTTCTTAATTGTCAAAGTATTATTAAAAGCTCATTTAATTGCTTCTGGTATTTATTAAAATGGTGTTGGGTAACTTTTACTTTGAGATGCATTTCACTACCCACAGGGCCAGATTTCCAACTGCACAGCCTTCACTCACAGATATACCTTTTCTGCAGTTCCTTTGCCTTCCTGCAGACATCTGCAGAAATCTCCAAGATGTTGAACTCCTGAAAAAACCTGGCCACAGTGACTTGGTGGGGATGGAAGTTCTTTGAATCTGTGGGTGTGGAGCTGTGCTGAGAGCCTGCCTGTGGTGACTAGATGTTCCTCAGTAGTGTGGTTTTCAGCCCTGTGGCAGAGAGGTGAAGCTCTTAACATGGTAGGATAGAATTGTAGGATATCTCAAGTTGGAAGAGACCCATAAGGATTATTAAGTCCAACTCCCCACTCCTTGCAGGACTACCCCTTGCTGTACATCTGAAAAGGGTGAGTGCTGCCCAGGGCACATTGTCATCATCATTTTCCTGACTTACTGCCTCTGCTTTAAAATTATCCCCTTCCCACCATACAGATGGGCACAACAACACTTTTCTCATGGCTGCATTGAGTAGCCATGCCTCTGTTCCACCTTAGCCCTTCCACCCACACCTCACTCCCTAAGTTAAAAGATGACATCAGCCCCTTTAGCAGAAATGAGGATGCAAAGTGTTGCAACTGATGTGGCACAGCATGTGGCTTGTGCTGATTGTCTCCTGATGCCTCTCACCTCTCAGTATTTGTTGAATTTTCCTGCTTGAGGTCAACAAAATTATTAGCCTAGTCCTTTATGCAAAACAATGGTGATCTGGGACTGCTGGGGGAGCAGGGCCAATGCAGAGCTTGTGCTGTGCAGGGACCGCAACCGGTGGCTGGTGGTGGACAACCTCAGCAGCGCCTCAGCAAGGGGATGGAGTGTGGCTGAGTCAGGCCTGGAGCCTTAGACCTGTTGGAGGTGTTTTCATCCCCAGGAGCATCTGGACTGCTGCAAACCCAGCACATAGCAGGAC